GGAAGTGGTGCCGTGGCTCAAGTGGTAGAGCACCACCTTTAGCTGAAGAGCTGAGGGACAGCGCCCAGGCCCAGAGTTCAAGCCCCACGACCAAAAAAAAAAAAAATCCATCTTATTGCCTAGTTGGATTGTAAATTTCCTGAAGGCAGTGTCCAACTCAGAGATAGCATTTCAGAGATGGAAGGAACACACCCTTTACATTTTTCAGATATATACCTCAAGAATTTAAGATGGAATTAAGGCCTCCAGGTGTTTTCTTTAGTGTATGATACCAGCTTGCCTGACTGTCACAGCAGCTAATAATGTGTACTCTTCTCCAAGCTCCCAGAGGAGAGTAGATAGTTGTTCTCGATGAGCCTATTATAGTAGTTTGTGGTTCTCTAAAGCTTGATTCACAAAATCTTTTTTTTTAGGGGAAATGTAATTTTTCTTTTTTTTTAAATTTAATTTAATTTTTTTGTGAACATACTATACAGAGGGGTTACAATTACATGGGCAGGATAATGTGTACATTTCTTATCAAGCATTGCAGCCTCCTCCTTTGTTTACCCTTCACATCCCTTCCCAGCCTCCCCCCCACCCAATCCCCCCCCCCCGCACCAATGTTGTAAAGCTCGTTTTCGACATGACAACTTGTACTTCTCATTGTTGCAACAGGTCCACCTGTATCCTTAAACGACTTGTTGGGGAAATGTAATTTTTCTATTGAAATAGCTGCTAGCTTTCAAAAGCTGAGAAATCAGTGTGGATCTGATTCAGTGGGACACACAGTAGGGGTTTTCACAGTTTCCTGTGTCACTGTGCGTTTTCGTTCTAGATTTGGGCGCCTCCTGCTCTATCAAAGGACCCAGTCAGCTTTATACATGTCTTGCCAGCGTCCATTCACCTAACAAATACTTGAGGGCCTACTGTGTTCACTGAAGCCTCATTACTCTTTCTATAACACACTTGTCCTGGTCCTGCCTTTTTCAAAACTGTTCTCTGGTTCCCCAGGCTTTAAGAATGAAGTTCGAATTAGTGATCTTGATGTTCAAAGCACTGTGCAACCATAATGGCCCAGTTTTACAGCATTAGCTCCCCATTGAGTCTTCTGTGCTGGAGGAACATGTCATGCACCTCCTAAAAACTTCTTGAAATTCTGCCTTTTGATGTTCTACTTCCTCAAAAGCCTTCCCAACCTTCAAAGCTGCAATTGCTCCTTTTCTATTTTGTGCATGCTGAGCAGGCACTCTACAAATTAGCCCAGGCTTCTAGCCCTTTTTGCTTTCATTATTTTTTTTTTCAGATGAAATCATGTCCGGGGCTGGGAATGTGGCTTCGTGGTAGAGTGCTTGCTTAGCATGCCTGAAGCCCTGTGTTCAATTCCTCAGTCATATACACAGAAAAAGCCAGAAGTGGCACTGTGGTCAAGTAGTAGAGTTCTAGCCTTGAACACAGAAAGGCTTAAGGACAGTGCTCAGGCCCTGAGTTCAAGCCCCAAGACTGGCCAAAAAAAAAAAAAAATCACGCCTGTAATCCTAGCTACTCAGGAAGCTGAGATGGATCACAGTTCATAGCCAGCCCAGGCAGGAAAGTCCATGAGACTCTCATCTCCAATTAACCACCAGAAAACCAGAAGTGGCGCTGTGGGTCAAGTGGCAGAGTGCTTGCCTTGAGCTGAAGAGCTGAAGGACAGCTCCCAGGGCCAGAGTTCAAGACCCATGACCAACAAAAGAAAAAAAAATCATGTCCTTTTTGTCTAGAGCCAACCTTGGACCAAGATCATCCTACCTACCTACACCTCCTGGCTGGAATTACATGTGCACAACAGCATACCTGCCTTACAATTGTTTAGTTTCACAGTTAAACTTTCCCATGAGCATCATCCTTGGGCTAAGTAATAAATTCATATGCTTCTTCTGAAATACAGAATAAGAACTTGTACAGCATCCTGGATTGGTTTGCTTAGCAATGTTGTTTAATTTTATCTTGTTTCATTTGAGACAAGGCCGCATGTAGCCCAAGTTGGCTTCAAATGATTGATCCTTCTGTCTTAACCTCAAAATGCTGGGATTACAGCTCTGTACCCCCAGGACCAGAGACATTGTGTTTTGATAAATAACTTTCACATCATTGAGAGAGAGTGAGGGAATGGGGACATTATCCAAAGGGAAATGAATTCTTCGCCTGACTGTAACCCCTCTGTTTTTATATTTTCAAATAAAAATAATAAAAACAAAAAAACTTTCACATCCCTATGTGTTTTTTATATCATTCATTAATACATCTACTAATCAACCAGTCCCCATATTGGTTCTAGGGACAGGACAAGGACCCTGTTCTCTAATACCTTATAACTGAATGGGGAAAAGTTAAATTATGGCACTTTAAATATTATCCCAAATATGTGGGAGCCTAGAGGAGGGACAACCTCACATGTAGAGAGGAGAGGGGAAGTACAGTTATTCCTTCAGCCATGGCTTTTTTCTTTTTTTCTATAGTTTCAATTATCTGAGTTCATCTATGGGCTGAAATTATTATATAGAAAATTCCAGAAATAAATAACTTCCAAGTTTTCAATGGTGTATTGTGCTAAGTAGCACAATGAAACCTGAAGCCCTCTCATTGTGCCCCACCTGAAGTATGAATCATACATCTGGCCAGCGTCTCCACACTGGAAACACCACCTGCTGATTAGCTCTTAGTAGCATCTTGGTTGCAGAGTGCCTTTGGTGGTTAGGCAGTACTTGTCTTAGTAATCATCCCCAAACACAAGGGTAGCAATGCTGGCTATTCAGAGGCCAAAGAAAAGTCATCAAGTGCTTTCTTGACAAAGTGTGGGTACAGCACAGTATTTCAGAAGGAAATGACCATGTATGTGCACTTTTACTACGGTATAGTGTCATGATTTTCCTATTTTGCTAGTAACTGTTAATATCTACCTGTCTAATTAATAAATTAAACGTGTGTGTGTGTGTGTGAGTGTGCATGTAGGTACTAGGGCTTGAACTCAGGGCCTGGGTACTATTCCTGAGATTTGTGGCTCAAGACTGGCACTTTACCACTTGAACCACAGTGTTTTGAACCATAGCTTTTTGCTGGTTAATTGGAAACTGGACTCTCACGGATTTTCCTGCTGGGTCTGGCTTCAAATCACAATCCTCATCTCTCAGCCTCCTGAATAGCTAGGCATGAGTCATTGGCTTACAAACTTTATCATTGACATAAAGCCTATAAGCAAATGGCTAATAAAGTTTATCATAGGTATGTATGTATGTAATAGAGAAAGCCTAGTGCCTGTCTATGTAGGGCTTAGCATTACTAGTGGTTACAGGCATCCACTGGGGGGCTTGGACAAGGGGGAGCGCCTGCCTTGTATGCACAGGGGACAGTGCTACCAGAGCATGTATTTGGGGAAGGGGGTGAAGCTACATCCCCGAGCCAGGGCCTAGACACCACCTTCTCAGAGTAATGGGCCTGTGGCACATTTGCAAGCTCCTGAAGCTCCACATTCTGACCCAGCAGGTCTAAATTGAGGTCAACGTTCTATACTTTGAGCCAGGTGCCAGTGGCTCACCCCTGTAATCCTAGCTACTCAGGAGGCTGAGATTTGAGAATCACAGTTCAAAGCCAGCCCAGGCAGGAAAGTCCATGAGACTCTTATCTCCAATAAACCACCAGAAAACTGGAAGTGGTGCCGTGGCTCAAGTGGTAGAGCACCCACCTTTAGCTGAAGAGCTGAGGGACAGCACCCAGGCCCACAGTTCAAGCACCACAACTGACGAAATACACACACACACACACACACACACACACACACCAAAAAAAGTTCTATGCTTTAAGTTCCCATGAGCCGCAAGGTGTCAGAATGCACTGGCCTTGGAGGACTGGTAGGAGGTGGGGCTGTTGGGTGGGCACCCTCTTCTGCTATCATACAAAAAAAGACATGAAGGTTATGTGTTTGGAGTAATAGCTGAGGACATAGCTGGTGGTGGCCTGGGTCCTGGGCAGACTTAACAGTGAGATTTGGGTTTTGTGTCTCTTCTATATCCACAGCAATCACGTCCCCCTCCCACGGCCCACAAATCTCCTTCACCAGTCACCAGATTGCTGACCCTGACGTAGTGATCATGCCATGCCGTGCTGTCTTTAACCTTCCAACAACCAGGAATGCCACCATTTGGGTGTGCTTTGTCCCCAAAGGTCTATATGTTAGGAGCTCTGTCCTCAGGATGGAAATATAAGGGGATGGGACCTTCAGGAGGGGAAGTACCATGGGACATCCTGAGATCAATTACGTGTCTGTGTGTCCTGGGATTGGGTTAGTTCCTGTGAGACCATTGTTATAAATGCCAGCTCTTAGCCCCACCCAGTGTCTCTCTGGCTTTTTTTTGGGGGGGGGGTCCAATCGTGGGGCCTGAACTCTGGGCCTGGGCACTGTCCCTCAGCTCTGCAGCTCAAGGCTAGTGCTCTACCACTTGAGCCACAGCGCCACTTCCGGCTTTTTTCTTTTTGCTTATGTGGTGCTGAGGAATCGAACCCAGGGCCTCAGGCATGCAAGGCAAGCGCTCTACCACTGAGCCACCTTCCCAGCCCCCTCTCTGGATTCTTGTATAGAATTGTGACAGTTACCTCCCACATACACAGGAGGGAGAGGAGGAAGAAGCCCTGAACAGAGCATGTCTCACGATGTTGGGAACTTTCAATAGTCACAAGCATGAGCTAAATATGCTTCTTTTCTTCATATATAGGTTTGCCTTGGGTATCTCATTATAGTAAAAAAAAACTGACTAATACATGAATCTTGATTTAGTTATATTTATTTCTTATTCTCTTTAAGTAGTTGTACAAAGAGTTTCAATTCAACATGTCAATTTTCGAGTACAATGCATCTTGATATCATCCACTGACTACAGGAAAGTCTTCCTAATTCAGACTTATTAACCTCAACTTGGTGATCATTTTATAATGATTGTACTTGACAAATTGCTTTTTGTAAGTAGGATGAAGTTTGATAATGTAATTACATTTTTGAAGATAATGAAAACAATAAAAACCATTTCCGAATTCTAGAAGCATCAATTTATATAAATAACTGCTCACTCTGCAAATAATTGTATGCTCTGTTCAACTTCATTCAAAAATCTTGGGCAACACTGATGCTCTATTTCCAGAGCTATAGGGAAACAACAGTAGTAATCACAGTAAATAATGACTCAAATCTTTTATAATAGATTTGTGATAGGAAGAATCAAAACCTTAAACAATTTTTTAAAGCTACATTACTGGTATTGGTCTAAATGTATTCACTGCAGGAAGACTGTTGCTCTGTGTAGATGACAAGTCTTGAAATTGCGACAGAGCTAGCTGTGTTGTTAGGGTTGAAAGACATTAAACACAGAAGGACACTAATGCATCTGAAGACAAAGATAAGCTGTGTGCTTTTTATAAAAGGGCATAATTTAGCTTTGTTTGGGGCTTGTCAGCTAAAATATCTTTCTTTCTATCCACCAAATATATCTACTAAATATGGTTTAAAAGATGAAAGTGGAGATGAAAAAGCAAAATGGAGTCCATTTTCCCACAAGGGCATTCCTGAGCTACCCTTCATATTAATCTTCAGAATATTTGTAACCAATCTTTGTGAAACAATTTGATGGTTTGAGATGATCATCACAATAGGTTTACACATTCATCTATCCAAGTATACATGTTCAATTTGAATAAATCAATCCATGGGGTTTTTCAAGTAGACTAAAAGATCGTAGAAATGTATTTTGCTCTAAGATACATAATTCTGGCAACTCATCCAAGTGTTTTTATTTAAATATAACTGTATCAACTTATTTGATCCTTCCAGATCTATCATTTTTTATAGATGACTTTTCCTTTAGTTATAACATACTCAATTAATTCATGATGGCCTCCAAACTGATAAATCAAATGCTCCCATCTAGAAAAAATCAAAACTGTTTTTCAATTCAAAGAAGTCAAAATCTCTACTATAACAATAAAATCAAATCTAAAATGAATTTCTAAAGATTTATCTATAGTTATTGTTAGTTAGGCCATTATGTATATCATTTATGATATGGCCCATGATAAACCAAATGTTTAAAAATATTTAAGTACTTGGTCTTAAATATTGGCTTCACGACATAATACATGAACAGTAAACACATGATTTTCAGTGGAGGGAGTATATTGTGACCATGGAGACAGAAGCATACAGTTGCTTCTCTCTGATGAACATGATGCCTGAGGCCTACAGCAGGCTCACAAGGGGCAAGGAAGGACAGCATTTACAACTTCTAGATTTAGAACTACAAGATCCAAATTGTCCCATTGGATATCCATCTGGTAGGGGACTGGGCATGAATAATAAGAAACAAGAAACAGGATAACGTCGTAAAGAGACTGAGGATCAAATTGGTATCCCAAGTCAAGGAGGTGGGGGTGGGGATGGAATGAATCAGAACCAGAGTGACAAGTTGGAGCTGAGAAAAAGCAAAAGGGCAGGGCCAAGCAGAAAGCCAAAAACACAGGCCAGGACGCATAAATGAAAGGTACCAGTATAGAGCAGGAACCTGGAGATCCATGAAAGGTGGGCTACAGAGAAAGGGACCCCAAGATTAGTCCTAGTGTATGATCTGGAGATAGACCTTCTGGTTGGAAAGGGATAACATTAGAGGGAACTGGTTATTTTCTGAGTCTAGATATGAATGACTGAGTCTGACACTAGAGAGAGAAAAGGGGCCCTGAACCTTGTCTCCATGTGGGAGTGAACATAAAATAATAGGTTAGGTGAATGCTCACCTGGGTGCATTGATGATAATGATGTCTCCCTGTTTGCCAACCTCCAGAGATCCATGCATGTGAGATTTTCCCAGTGCATAGGCCGCGTTGATGGTGCTAGCAGCCAAGGCCTCAGGCATAGACATCCTCATGTTTACACAGGCTAGATGCATGACCATTGGCTAAGACGGGAAGAAGAAAGCATGGGAGGAAAGTAGCAGAACAGCAACAGCTACTTTGGATGGCCTTCCAAACAGCACAACAATTAAGGTGGTTAAATATATAGGTGGTGGGGCTCAGGATGTAGCTCCATGGTTGAGCTCAGACTTGGTATACATGAGGACCTGGGTTTAATCTCAGCAGACTCCAAAAATGTACAGGTGGTAAGACTTGCTAAATTTCTAAATCTCAACTTACAAATGAAGTGGGTGGGGTGCATTACCCTTTGTACAACTAAAGAAATTTTAACACTTGCAAAATGAAAACAAGGATTCTTATGCTTTGGGGAAAAATTCCTTTAATATCAAGATTGTGTAATTTAATATTTATTCATGACTTTTCAAGACCCTGTGTATGATGAAGCTTACCGCCACCCTTACTTGTTATTATAGAGTTCCAGTGAAAATGAATTAATGTAAAACCATAATGCTCAAGGCTAAACCAACAAGTGATTATGCAAAGAAAACTTCTCTCTTCTCTTTAGGTCCAGAGGCATTCACATGGTAAAGAAAAATCCAATTATACTATGAGCCACACCTTTTTAAAAATCTTGTTTCACGGGGAAGTACTTGTAGATTTCTTATATATTTTAGCAGCTAGTGAAGTTAAGTTACTTCTATGCTTGGTTAAAACTGCAGAAAAACATCTGAGCTAATACTTACCATTGAAAAGCAATATGCATTGGGGTTGAAATCACTGCCCAGGGCTACTATCACTCCCTCATCTAACATCTTCCTGGCTCGAGGCTGCTTCAACCTAAGGAAAGAAGAAAAAGATGAGTCTCTAGGAGTTGGAATTTTTGCAGAATAGGTGACCAAAATGGAAGAGAAGAAACAAAACTCAAGGTTAAATGGATAGCACTAGAATTGGGTAGAGCCTTACATAGGGTCATGGGACTCAAGTTTTCATACTGTTTGGGGAATTAATTGGCTGTTATTTAGATTGTAACCATTTCTCTGGCCAATCTCTCCTCTCTCTCTCTCTCTCTCTCTCTCTCTCTCTCTTTTGTCTCTCTCTCTCTCTCTCTCTCTCTGAGAGCTTCTTGCTAAGGGAGAAATTCAGAATTTACAAAGCATGAATAAACTGAGAAACTGTTCTAATAAATTCTAATAAGCTCTTTTGTGGCTTCCAAGTTAAACAACCAACAAATAACGCATAAAGCATTATCGATTTCTCAATTCTCTCTCTCTCTCTCTCTCTCTCTCTCTCTCTCTCTGATGGTTTCAAATATCTTTCCTGGAAACCAGAATAACTTAGAGAGTTAATCAAGAGAATTCAGGGAACAGAGGTAATTCTTGATGGAGAAATCAGAAAAATATAGAACCAGAGGAGTCAGAGGAAGAGTAAGCCTCTTCTATTATTGTCCTGGTCATATAAACAAGATGGAAGCCTTCTGTGACAATGGCAGCTCTCATTTCCAAGGCTACTTCCCTTCAGTAGCATAAAGTCTCCAGGTTTTGTTCCATATTAAGAGATTTTAGGAAAGTAGAAGAAAATCTTCTACTTCCTTTTACTTTTATGTAGTGTTAGAATTTTCAGCTGATATTCCAGCCCTACCTTAGTTTGGAAATCGACTCTCAGACTTTTCTGCCTGGGTTGGCCTTGATACTCTGATCTCAGGCCCCTGAGTAGCTAGGATTACAAGAGCGAGTCACTGGTACCTGGCAAAACATGCTTCTTGAGTGGTGAAAAGGTCTCCAAATTCAATACTGATTGAGGGCTCTGACTGATAACTATTGAGATGTGTAAAAAAAGTAGTTGGTTATACCAAGAGCAAGAATATCTACTGATTTCCTGCATTTAGCCTATATTGTGTCTAATTCAAATGAAAAGAATATTAATAATAAAACTGTATTATATTGTATATGTGTGTGTGTGAAATTAGAGTTTAAAAAGCAACGGAATAGTCTGTCCTTTCTAAATGTTAGTATAAGTCTAGCCTTTCTCAGTTCATATCTTAGGCTGGATTACTCTTTGTTGCGTGTGTAGGGTATAGGGGGCGGGATACTATTTATACATTGAAGGATTTCTAACAACATCTGTGGCCACTACCCACTAGATGCCAGTAGCACCCCTCCCTGCCTAGATAGTGAAAATAAGAAATGTTTCCAACTGTCCTCTGAGGGACAAAATCACCCTAAAGTTTTAACTGCAGAACCGCTGTCCAGCAGACCATGTATCTTACCAATATCTAGCCCTAGCTGGTTTTTCTAGACTACAGACTCCTTGGCAGCCATCACAGGACTGTGTACTGGAAAGGGTGGCAAAACCTCAGATCTCCTAGTTGGCAGAATTAGAGCAATGGCCATTACAAAAGACAGACGAGGTGTAGTCAATTCATATGGAGCCTACGGCAAAATCGCTGGGGATATTTGACAAAATACACTTTCTATATGACCTCAGTTCTTTCCCCACCCAGACCCCCACAATGCCAGGACTGGCACTCAGTTATGGTCCCAGCAGCATCCTTGTAGAAAATGGCTCATTCACACCGGGTAACTCCTTTATGAACATCAAGGCAAAGTTGGCATCTTCGTAGCATCTAAATTTCCATTTTCCATCTGTGTGTTTCAGGACTTGGTCCTTACAGCCTTCATTTCAGGGTCAGAAGCAAGCCTACCTCAGCATGTAGGCCGTGGTGGGCAGGAGGACAGCAGAGCACTGGGCCTTGGCCATGGCAGCGATCCCTTCATCACTCACTTCTTCCAGGTGGCTGATGGCCTGGGCTCCCAGCTCAACCCCCAGCTAGGCACATTGGGCACAGCGAACAAGATTTAATAAATGACGATCAATAAAGTACTATGACATTATCTTTCCTTCAAAAAGCAATTGCGCTCCATTAGGATTTCTTGCCAACTACTTCTTAGGAGCATAAGCTCCCAAATGGAAAAAAATAGAGATGCATTTCCATCTCATGCTCCTTCTAAAATTAATCATTATGAGGGAGGGGGGTAGTTGTAACTGGTGTTTTAATTGAAGGCCTCATGCTTGCTAGGCAAGTTTACACCCTGCCCACAGCCCTTTTTTGCTTTAGCTACTTTTCAGGTAGAGTTTTACATTTTTTTTCAAACTCCTTAGAAAGAAAGGTAGAAGAACTTAATGGTTCAAACATGGTAGATAAAGAGAGAGCAGTTGAAATGATGTCCAAATTTTGGACTTAGCAGCACACAGATGATGCTGTCATGTAATGGCTCAGGAAACAGAGAACAAAAGTTGGAAATGGTATTAAGACACCAAGTTGGACACATGCTTGAGATGTTGGTAGGCAGTCTGTAACTATATTTATGACCCAAAGTAATTGTTCAAGTGTGTGTGTGTGTGTGTGTGTGTGTGTGTGCACGCATGTGAGTGTGCGTGCTGAGGATCAAACATGAGGCCTTGGCTATATGAAAAGAATTATTCTACCAACACCTTCAGATAAAGCTTTGAGAAAAGACATCTAGACTCATGATGGCAAAGACCTTCTTACTGCTGAATTCTTTTTTTTTGGGGGGGGGTCCAGTCATGGGGCCTGAACTCTGGGCCTGGGTGCTGTCCCTCAGCTCTTCAGCTCAAGGCTAGAGCTCTATCACTTGAGCCACAGCGCTATTTCCGGCTTTTTTCTTTTTGCTTATGTGGTGCTGAGGAATCGAACCCAGGACCTCAGGCATGCAAGGCAAGCGCTCTACCACTGAGCCACCTTCCCAGCCCCTCACTGCTGAATTCTTAATATCTGAAATGGCACTTGCACACAATATGTACTCAAATGTTCTTTTTTTAATTTTTTGTTGGTCATAGGACAGCCTGGACACTGTCCTTCAGCTCTTCAGCTCAAGGCAAGCACTCTACCACTTGAGTCACAACACCACTTCCAGTTTTCTAGTGGTTTAATGGAGATAGGAGTCTCATAGACTTTCCTGCCCAGGCTGGCTTTGAACCACGATCCTCAGATCTCAGCCTCCTGAGTAGCTAGGATTACAGGCGTGAGCCACTGGCACCCAGCTCAAATGTTCTTAAAAGGATAAATGAGCAGCTGGGTGCTAGTGGCTCATGCTTGTAATACTAGCTACTCAAGAGACTAAGATCTGAGGATCATGGTTCAAAGCCAGCAGGAAAGTCCATGAAAGTATTATTTCTAATAACCACCAAACAGAAAAGTGGAACTGTAGCTCAAGTTGTAGAGTGCCAGCTGTAAGCAAAAAAGCTCAGAAATAGCACCCAGGCCCTGAGTCAAGCCATAAGATTAGTACACACATGTATGTGCACACACATGCATACTAACTACAAGTGTGAATAGGTGAGTGTGGGAAGGACATACTGAACATACATTTAAACACTGCCCTGTGGCTAATAATGGTGTGTTTTACTAACATTGATCTACAAGTGACAAAGATACATGTAAAATTATTACTTTGTGTTAGTATAGCTTTGTGTAGCAACCAGAGTACGCCATGAATTTAGAAGATGAGATCATAGATATGCTTCTTTTTCTATTCACATTGTGAGCAGCTGCTAATCAAGGCAAATAATCAGGCTGGGGGTGTAGTTTTACCAAGAGCAAGTTCCTGGCACCAAAAAACAAAAAACCAACAGCAACAAAGTAAATGGTCAAACAAGAAAGAAAGAAAAAAAGAAAGGCAGACAGACAGACAGTCAGAAAGAAAGAAAGAAAGGAAGAAAGAAAGAAAGAAAGAAAGAAGGAAAGAAAGAAAGAAAGAAAAGAAAGAAAGAAAAAAAGAAAGGCAGACAGACAGAGAGAAAGAAAGAAAGAAAGAAAGAAAGAAAGAAAGAAAGAAAGAAAGAAAGAAAAGAAAGAAGGAAGGAAGGAAGAAAGAAAGGAAAAAGAAAAAACATCACAAGGTTTCTAATAGAGATCAGAATTTCCCAGGCTCCATCAGACCAAGCTGCATATTGTCCTCCCCATCCTCTCTCTTTTCAGAAGGAAAGGCTAACTTAGAACAAAGGAATGTGCAGTATGTGTTGACACAGGAAGGGCAAAAGGTCATCATACCTCTGCAGCCTTCATGGGGTGAAGTTCATCCCCATGGAAGTTAATCTGTAGCCCCATCTCCTTCCCGCTCTGAAGAATCCTTCTGGTGGAATCCAGATCAAAGACACCCTCCTCACAAAACACGTCTATATTGTCAACCTGTATTTCCCCGTTTCTGCCAAGTTCCTGCAGCTTTGGGAGGTGGCTAGTGACAATGTCAGCAGCAGCTTCAGTGGCAGTCTTCCCTCTGATGCCAGAAATGAGAAAGAGAGAAAGAGAGAGAGAGAGCATGACTTCAAGCCTTGAAAAGATATGAATCAAAGCTAAAACTCAGAACTCCTAACTGGGTTAAGCCTACATAATGGAAGTATCCATGAGAGTTCTTTTCTGGCTGGGCACCCATGGCTCACGCCTGTAATCCTAGCTGCTCAGGAGGCTGAGATCTGAGGATCACAGTTCAGAGCCAGCCCAGGCAGGAAAATCTGTAAGACTCTTATCTCCAATTAACCTCCAGAAAACTGGAAGTGGCGCTGTGGCTCAAGTGGTCAAACACTTGCCTCAAGCTGAAGAGCTAGGGGATAGCTCCCAGGCCCTGAGTTCAAGCCCCATGACCCACAAACAAAAGTAAGAGTTCTTTTCTGCTCCCACCTTATCTGTAGAGATGTAAATTGCTCGGCCATCCTAGCACCCCAGTATTGTCTTTGGGAATGCCCCCAAGGCCACCCACCTGCAGAGTTAAAGCTCTGTGCCCTGGATACTTTAAAGGACCTTTTGGATGCTTGGGTTTGTTGTTGTTGCTTTAGTTTTTCCAGTCCTGGGGCTTGAACTCAGGGCCTGGGAGCTGTCCCTGCGCTTCTTTTGCTCAAGGCTAGTACTCTACCACTCGTGCCACAGTGCCATTTCCAGCTTTTTCTGTGTATGTAGTACTGAGGAATGGAACCCGGGGATTCATGCATGCTAGGCAAGCACTTTGCCACTAAGCCACACTCCCAGTTTGAAGCTGGGCCTTTTGTAAAAGTCAGATGAATAAAGAGCTCTACCTCTTGCTGGTTCCATATCTTTGGCCACATCATTTAGCAATGATTTACATGTTGTGCTTAATCACTGGAACCAAGATATAGATCTCAGACACTCACTGGCAGCTGGAGAAAATTCCTGGGAAACTATGTGAGTGGATGAGTGGAGGGAAGCAATGATTTCTATTTAAGACCGTCATATAGAGTAGGATGTTAGGGAGTGCTATATTACAGATGCATAATTCATGCTTTAAATAGTTATATCACACACTCAAAAGTTGGAAGTAGCTAAATGGAATCAAATCCAGGTTTCATTGTCAAAAAAAAAAAAGGAAAAGTAGACTGGCTTCATATATACACTTCAGATACACTTCATATTTTGTTCGAAACATCTACAATTGTCTGTAGACACATGCTAAAATGTATCACAAAGATTCTGGAAATATTACACATTCTATTTCTTTTCTACAGAACTATTTTTGTGAATCTGAAATGTTATAACTTTTTACTTCCTCTGATTGAAGAGAGCAAATGGATATTAGCATTAAACTTTTATACTTCTTTAGAACATGGTGAATATAGTTAATAATAGTGTACTATATTCTTTCAAACTGTTTTTTGCTAGTTAACTGGAGATAAGTCTCATAGACTTTCTTGTTCAGGCTGGCTTTGAACTACAATCCTCAACTATCAGCCTCCTTAGTAGCTAGGATTATAGCTACTAATTGTTAGCTACCAATTTTCAGTGGTTTTATACTTTATACATCCTTCATTTTTGCTGACCTAAGTAGATCAGTTTTCACTTGAAATCAGGTGACAACAAATAGTTGACTGAAGCCTGTCTTTTTCTTTTCCAATAACAAATCTCTTATGTTTTCACCATAAGAAATGGACATTCCACATTTCACATCGCAAAATATGTTGTACACAATATGTGCAATTTTTACATCTCCAATAAATAAGTTATACTTTTAGAAGATCACAGAAGTAAAAATATAAAATAAATTTAAATGGCTGAATTTTCAAATAATGTTTGTAAGTGTATAGCATATGTACACCTGTCGATGCTGAATGCTGCAGCTCCAGCTCTTTTAGATGGATCTCTTTTAGATCTTTCTGCTCTAGAACCATGGTCCTTTCTGTCTAGAAATTCCAGGATCAAAAGGACTCTGGGCAGATATGCATAAGGAGTAAAGTCATGTAGGAGAAAAGGTTTAGATAAAGGGGAAGGCTAAAACCTTTTAAAATGGAGCTAGGCACCAGTGGCTGACACCTGTAATCCTAGCTACGCTTAAGGTGACCCTCACCAAAATTAGGGCATCTGAGCTACTAGCTGGAAATCCTTCCTGCTGTCTGGCTGTCCTTCGTGCTGTAGGGAACTTACTCTCTCCCCTGAGGCCCCCTCCCTTGGGAGAGGAGGAGTGTGTGACTCCAGAGCTTAGTAGCCTACTTAAGTCTGCAAGCTCCCAGGTGTACCCCAATTAATATCATCCATCATTTTCTAAATCTGTTTTCTAGTCGCATCCCATTTGAACTGCCAATACATACTGTAAGAATAGGGCAAGCATTAAAGGCAGGATCTCTTTGTGGAAACTCCAGGTTCATTATTAAGGGAAATTCTCAGAAGTAGAGAGTCAGAGAAAATTAGGGAGTTAGATATGCTAAGTGTGTTAAATAATAGGGAAACTCAGAAAGAGCCAGGAAACCTAGAAGGTAGTTTGATTTTGAATGTGATAAGAAGTCTGGAATGTGTTCTGGTAAATGTCAGCTAAAACCTGATCGGAATGAAAGGAAGGGGGAGCCTGGAAATGTAACTTTTGCCTCTATGACTTACTGCTTTGCTTATTGAAATTGTAATCATTATTTGTGATCACTAACTACTAGTTTTGCTTCTGTAAACCTGCTTGCTCTCACCTACACTGCCATCTGCGTGTGGCCTGCTTGTCCCTTTAAAACCTTGCTGCAAGAGAGCTTGGCTGCAGTTCTTCACTGCCCTGACAGTGGAGAGCAGCTGTCATGGCTTATAATAAAGATTCCTAGCCTGATTGACTAAGGGTTGGTGACTCCTTTTGCTGATGGTGGGTTCGAAGTCCCACCAACCCAGGAAGTTTGGATACTTCATTCTAGCTACCTGAGAGGCTGAGATCTGAAGATCCCAGTTCAAAGCCAGGCTAAGCAGACAAATTTGAGAGAGTTGTACCGCTAATTAACTGGAAAAAGCTGGAAGTGGAAATATGGTGAAAGTGTGGTAGAGCATCACCCTTTGTGTTGAGAAAGCTAAGCTATTGCAGGCCCTGGGTTCAAGCCCTACTCCCAACACTAAATAAGCAAACAAGACCCTTTGCAATGATCAAGCATTTGAAGTTAAGTAAATATATGAACAGCACAAAACAAAAAAATCCCTTCTGAGCTTCCTAGTTGATAAGGTGTGATCATCGGGTGTACATGGCTACAATGCTTTGTGCTACTTAACTAGCACAGGAAATTACTCAAAGAGTAAAATGTGAAAGGACCTATGAGGGACCTTTTCTTTTTTGCTAACCCAAAGAGCTTGCAACCTTTCCTCTTCTTTCATCATTAAATGTCTAGAAAAACTGATAGGGTGCACGGCCTGGTGGCTCAAGCCTGTAATCCTACTGACTCAGGAAGCTGAGATCTGATGATGATGGTGCAAAGCCAGCCCAGGCAGGAAAATCCGTGAGACTCTGATCTCCAATTAACCACCCGAAAACCAGACGTGATGCTATGACCCAAAGTGGTAGAGCACTAGCCTTGAGCACTAAAGTTCAGGGACAGCAGCCAGGCCCTGAGTTCAAGCCCCATGACCGACAAAGAGAAAAACAACAACAACAAGAAGATGGGCAACGTGATTGGCCACGTAAAGAACTAGAACATCTTTCCGAGGGTGGTGATCTGCGGGTCTCCTTGCTGCACCTCCACGCCCACGGGGAGCCAGGCCTGAGTCAGACCCCGTCCCTCCCTCCACCGGCATTACTTGGGCACTGCGTGGGCCCCGCAGTAGGTGGCCGAGATCCCGATGGGCAGCTCCCGGCGGGCGCGCTCGATCACGCGCAGCATCTTGAGCTCCGTGGGCAGGTCGAGGCCGTATCCGCTCTTGCACTCCACCAGCGTGGTGCCCGCCCGCACCATGCACTGGAGCCGCTGCTGCAGGGCTCCGAACAGCTCCTCCTCCGCCGCCTGGCGCGTGCGCTCCACCGTGAAGTGGATGCCCCCTCCAGCACGGTGGATCTCCATGTAGGTGGCTCCTGCCAACTAAACGCACGGCCCCCTCAGGAGGACTGCAGACGCGTCTACAGACCTACCTCCAGGAGTGAGAGCAAGAGGTGAAGGAGCCGTCAGCTCCAGTACCCACCGACCGGATAGTGGCATGGATGTGTCTATTTCTGAAAGCCCCTACCTCTCCAACTCTTAGAATCTTCCAGACTCTTCTGCTCTTACTTAGATAGTGTGGGATGGAGGCCGGGGTGGGGGTGGGGTCCCAGGAAAGAACTGGACGGCAGAGATGGGCATTGATGGGTAGCTGAGGATCTCAGGACAGCAATACCTTAGTACAGGAGTATCTCAACAACCCACAGCCCCAATCCTTCCTATTAACATGTTTTGTTTGGTTTTGGTTTTGTTTGTGCTCGGGGCCTGAGCACTGTCCCTGAGCTTCTTTTGCTCAAGGCTAGCACTCTATCACTTGAGCCACAGCACCATTTCCAGCTTTTTCTGTTTATGTGGTGCTGAGGAATTGAACCCAGGGCTTCATTCATGCTAAACAAGCACTCTATCACTAAGCCACCTTCCCAGCCCCTTAACATGTTTTAAAAAGCAAAGATAGGCCGAGGTGCTGGCCTAGCTACTCAGGAGACTGAGATCTGAGGGTGGCAGTTCAAAGCCAGCCCAGGCAAGAAAGTCTATAAGACTCTTATCTCCAATTAACCACAAAAAGCCAGAAGTGGGACTGTGGCTCAAATGGTAGAGCACAAGCCTTGAGCACAAAAAGCATAGGGACAGTGCCCAGGCACAGAGTTCAAGCCCCAGGACAAGGAGAGGGGGAACAAACAAAAAACAAAATAGCTGGGCACATGTGGCTCACACCTTTATTCCCAGCTACTCGGGAGGATGAGATCAGAGGATAGCTATTCAAGGACAGTCCTGGGAAGGGAGTCTGTGAGAGTTTGTTGTTGTTGTTGCACGTGCTAGGCAATGGCTTTGCCACTGAGCTACATCTGAGCCCTCTGTGAGACTTTTGCCTCTAATTAGCCACTAAAAAGTCAAAAACTCAAGTAGCAGAGTGCCAATCTTGAGTGAAAAAATTAAGCAAGAGCATAGGCCCCCGAGTTCAAGGCCCAGTACAACACACACACACACACACACACACACGAAAGGTAAGAAAAGAGTTCAGGGAATCTCATTACAGTCATCTGAATCTCTGGGGAATGAAGGCAGCTTTTACATGTCCATATTTGGGCATCTGAGTTGGTAGAATTTATAAATAAGTTAGCTTTGTCGCTATTTGCTTTCTATACTCCAGCAAGTAAAAATATGCATTAAGAAGATGTGGATGGGGAGAATGAAGTAAAAAATTCAATGCAAACTCTACAAAATTAAGAAAAGTGAGGGAAGGGGTGGCTTGGGAGAGGGGGTGAGGATGTTGGGAGGGTTGGGAGGAGGGGTGAGGATGTTGAGAGGGTGACATTGATCAGGATGCTTGGTATTCCTAAGCTGCTTTGCTGAATGACAACCGCTGAATGTGGCAAAGTCTGCTGGCTGATGAACTCGGTAGACTTCATCTTTGTACTCTATGTTGATATCCCGTCATCCATTGAGGTTACCTTCATTGCAAACTCGTGAACTCTTTCTCCAGCCCAGACAGGATGTGTATGTGCATCCACCAACCCTGCAATCAATGAAGGTCAAGAAGGAGAAGGCAAATGAAGAAGGAGGACAGACTAATGTATCAGCCTTGCAGGGGAAAGTATGGTTGTGAAAAGGCCAGACCTTCGAAAGGAGAAATTTAGTACACGGACCCACAAATATTTGTCATACATTATAAGACCTGTTTAAAACAAGTTGCTATTCTCCCTCTTTACATTCATTGAGTGACTGTTCAAAACAGCTCTCGAAGCTGTTTGTTTTAGGGGAAGGAAGTAAATACCTGGTAGGACACATTTCCCAGAACAATCAATTCTTTCTTCAAAAGTGTCTTCAGAAAACTGACGCTGGATAGCATCAGCAGGACCGATAGCTTTTATGAGCCCATCACTAGAGAAAAATGCAAGTAATAGTTACCAGTTTCGTGGGAAACCATATGCTTTACTTTTATATTGTTGTGACCAAATTACCCAAAAGAACAGTTTAAAAGGAGGAACTATTGATTTTGCTCCTGTTTCAGGTGGGCAAGCCCACCATGGTACAGATGATGCTGCAAGCAGAGCCTTGCAGGACAAGTCTCCCCCCCTCCCAAGTTACCTACTTCCAAACTGGTTCCCACCTCCTGCCCTTCACCACCTCCAATTAAGGTCCAATCACTTCCCAAAATCCCATCTGCTGTCAACCATGCCCCTAATATATTTCTTGCAAGAAAGCTAATGATCTAAAATGTCTTCAGATACCATACTGTCAACCAGCCAACACTTAACTGTTGTGATTCCCTCTTGAACTTGAGTTTTTGAGAGAGTGACTGTAGCCACCATAAAGACAAAAGGCCAACTTATGTGTAGTAGAGATTGCTAGCTGCTCCCCAACATGGCCATTCTCCCTTCCTACAGGACTAGACCCCCTAAGTTTTAGCTGGACATGTGACCACTCAGGAAAAAAGTTACTTTTTCATCTCATCAGCCAAGAAGAACCATGTGATGAGGTTCTAGCCAATAGGATTGTTTTCACTCTCTATTCTCACTGGCTGGAAAGGAGACACAACTAGAGATGGAGCAGCCATCTTGGATGGTGGAAGGACTGTGAGAAAGTGGGTTGTGCACAGTAGAGCAAGATTGTGATGTAAGGAAGTAGGTAGAAATCTCAGAAGAAGGTGCAAACCTATCACCCAAGTTCCAACCCTAGGTCCCCAGACACTCCATAGGTGGTAATTTTGTCATCAAAACATCTTAATAAAAGTGGTATCCTTAGAAAGGAACCCTCCTTAAATGGCACATGTGGACATTGTTCTTGGCTGTCCTTAAGGAACCGTAGGTAAGCCTTCATGTTTTTGTTCTACCTATCCATATCATCACAACAAAATGCCTTGTGCAAATGGGCATGCGCAGTGGAAACACTGTTATTGAAAAACTATTATGTCACCACAACCTGCCATTCACAAACTTCACCATAAATAGCCCCTCATGTGTGAGGGGCTCTCAGACCTTCCACTCAGCACAAACCAGCCCTCAATTGTCCCGGACACCATTCCGCTAGACCTTTGCTTTCAATGTTTTGAGATAGGGTCTCACTATATAACTCATGCTGACTTTGAACTCACAATTTTCCTTTCTCAGCTAAAAGTACAGACATGTGCCATTATGCCCATGATCACAGGTAATCTTTTTAAGGGGAGGAGAAGAACAGAGAAGGATATGCTGTTCTTTGTTTAATTTTTGAACAGTTTAGGAAGAAAAAGTCCACGTAACTTTTTGGAAGCAGTCAAGCTAATCAGCAATCCCAAATAAATCCTAGAAGCGACAGGGTGATTATCATGAAAACTTCAGGGAGGGTGATTTACGGAAGACATTTTGGTTACTATGTTATTTGTTTGTTAAGGGATCACTCTGTAGTCTATGCTGGCCTCTAACTCACAGTCCTCCTACCTCAACCTCCCAAGTGCTGGGAATACAGACATACACCTCAGGTCCAGCTTAGCATAGCAAGATGATGTGTTTCTTCTTATGTATATCATCCTAAATATTGCTCTTCTCTTATGGATCATATACCCCGTTCATTTCAGCAGCCCTTGCGTGGTCCTTATCAGCTCCATCCAGCACAGATCTCTCTAGCTTTGCACTTCATCACACCGTGTTCCAGTTATCTTTTCCTATGTCTTGTCCCTCACTACATAGCTCTTCCGGACAGAACCAGTCTTAATCATTTTTGTATCTCCCTAACTGCTCAGTTCATCTATGGTGAGTGGATAAAAAGAGTCTACACTTTTAGGTTTGCTGTCTACCCGACTCTCACTGGCTTTCAAAAAGGGTGATAAAATGTCAGTCCATTTTGGCTTCTCCCTTGAAGCATTCAAATAGTTTTTATGGGTGAAACTGTGTTTGCATTCCTATTATTTTTGTTCATTTAGACATTTTCAATTTGCTCTTAGACTTTAGCTGGGACACTTGTAAAGGGGGTGATAATTTGTGATTCTCTTCTGTCACCTCTTGGTGGCAGAGTCAGAAATTTTTTTAAGGTTATCTATAACCCTCCCACACACAGCTTAATTTAAGAGACTTGGAGATCTCAATGAATAAATGCAATGCCCTGTGACAGGTAAGCATTGAGATTTTAAAATTTTAGAAAGAAGTTTCTAGAATCTCCCTAAGCACTTTTTATTCCAGGGCCCATCTTCTATATCTATAGCTTACAGGAAATGGCTACTAGTTGATATTACTGAGTTATATCTACTCAAGAGGCTGAGATCTGAAAAGCCTAGTTCAAAGTCGGGCTGGACAGAAAAGCCCTGAGACTTTTATCTCCAAGTAATCAGTAAAAAGCTGGAAATGAAAATGTGGCTCATGTGGTTGAGTAATAGGTTGGAGTGGGGGGGGAGGGGGGAAAGCAAGAGTATGAGGCTCTGAGTTTAAGCCCCAATACTGACACATACATACACAAAAAAAGTGAAAATGTGGACATTACCAGATAATTACTTGGCAGGTATGTAAAATAATGAATAAGTAGGTAAATTGAAAGCAACGCAAAATTCTGAATATTCTTGCAAATACAATTTTTAATTATTTTTTTTGTCGGTCATGGGGCCTGAACTCTGGGCCTGGGCGCTGTCCCTCAGCTCTTCAGCTCAAGGCTAGCACTCTACCACTTGAGCCACAGCACCACTTCAGGCTTTTTCTGCTTATGTGGTGCTAAGGAATTGAACTCAGGGCCTCATGCATATAAGGCAAGCGCTCTACCACTGAGACACCTTCCCAGCCTGCAAATACATTTTAATATAAACAAACCCAACAAACTCTGAGAACCATGTAGCCAATCAAATTAAGAAAAAAGTGATCTTCCAGCCCACAAGTCGATTCTGTCCTTTTTCTTCCTTATTTTATGTGGTCCTAATGAGCACATGGCTATAGAGAACATGTCTTAGAACCTAGGACTTCATGTCTGCTAGTATTACTATCATTTCTAAGATATTCTGTTTCCCACCACTAGGTAGATATTTTCTCAGCTTTCTCATCAGATATATTATTTTAACATTTTTTAGTAGGAAACTATTTCTGCCCTGTGCTAACTAGAACAAACCCTAAACACTAGGCTATTATGCAACCCTAAGCAGTCTCAGATAAGCCTTGGTCTGTTTGTGAAATCCCAGGCAATTGGAGCCCCACAGGTCTGGCATGGGGATCCGCATCCAATCCCCACTCTTACTCCAAGTGGCCCTAGCAAACTCTGGCTATTCCACAGGAAGCTCCAAAGGTTAAAAGGAAACAACTGAAAATAAACTCTTGTAATCAGGTTAAATCCTGACTTCTCATCATTCAAAACCACTGCCATGTAAGCATTTTCTAGTTCTCAGGTTTGAGTGTGCAGATCAAGGTACAAGAGAGATCTTTTATAAAGATTCAGGTTGTGCTGAGCCTCACTCCTGTAATCCTGACTTCTCAGGAGGCTGTGATCTTAGGATCACAGTTCGAAGCTAGCCTGGGCTGGAAAGGCCAGTTTGGGGAAACTCTTATCTCCAATTTACCACCAAAAAAGGCCAGAAGTAGAGATGTGGCTCACGTGGTAGAGAGCTAGCTTTGAGAGAAAAAAAAATCAGGGACAGTGTATAGGCCCTGAGTGCAAGCCCCAGGACCTACATGCATATGCTTGTGCATGCATATACACATACACACACACACACACACACACACACACACACACACTTCATAATAGCTGGGTTTGGTAGCAGCTCATCCTAACTACATGAAAAGCCTAACTAGTCAACACTGTGCACAGATGCAATATCCTATTCGTACAATAACCAAAGCAACAGACCTAGAACAAATCATATTAAGTGAGGTAAGCGAAACTCAGAGAGATTAATGACGGATAAATAAGCAGAAGCTAGACCTAAACTACTCCAGGATATGATCAATTATACAGGACTGTAGGCATTCACACACAGTGAGACCAAAGGAGAACATTCTTAGGGGAGGAACACAAAGGGTAATGCCTTGTGCCTCTGTTCGTATAAAAGAACGCTAACCAAAATGATAGGTATGCCAGTAAATGGAAGCAAAGGAAGAAATGAAAGAATGTGAGGAGAGAGGGGGGAAGAGGGAGGGAGGAAAGGAAGGGAACTGAAGGGAAATGAAGAGGAAGGAAAGGAGAGGAAAAGAGAAGGGAGGGGAGGGGAGGAGAAGGGAGGTAAAGAGAGAGGAGAGGAGGGCAGAGGAGAGGAGGGGAGGGGAGAGGACATGAGGGTAGGGGAGGGGGGAATAACCAAGGCAAATAGAGGTGGGGGTGAGGGTTGGGGTTCAAGTGATAGAACAACATCCTAGCAAGGCCCCGAATTCAAATCCCAGTACTGAAGGGAAAAAAGAAAAACCCCAAGCCATACCGGAATGGATGGAATGGATGGTTAACCAGACGGGGCGGGGTGCGTCTCAATGGTGTTGGCCTCGGGTGTTTAAGTGCAAGCCTATCCTAGTCTTTAGGACTAGGGCTCCCCCGCCCCCCCGCCCCCCCGCCCCCCTGCCGCCATCTATCTGCCACCGTGCGCGCCCAGCCACTTACGTGCCCACCACCAGGCTGGCGCCCTCCAGCACCGCCAGGCTGCGCAGCGCGCCCCCGGCCAGGAAGCGCTCGCCCCGGGCGCACACCAGCACCGCCTGCGTTCTCCAGCAGCAGCAGGCGGTGGCCGCCCGCCATGGCGCCGGCCGGGCTCTCCTCGGGGCCCGGCTCTCCTCGGGGCGCGAGGCCGCCGCGCTTGGGCAGCGGGAGGGCGGGAGGCGGGCGGCCGGGCGGGCCAGCGCGGGCCTCTCCAGCATCCAGAGCACGGGGCGGGGCGGGGCGGGCACTGGCAACCGCTGCCCTCGGGCGCCGGGGAGGGCAGGGGGGCGGACAATAAGCGGAAAAAAGGTGACAGTAACAAGTTCCACCGAGAAGAACAATCCGCCATGCGCTCGGTCACGGCCTCCGGTCTTTTCTATGTCACTCTTACACGCTTGGGGCTAAGGGAGGTAGAGATTGTGTCCCCACTTCTCAGAGAAGGGAATCGAAGATGCGTCACCTGGAGAGAGCAAGATGATGGGCTCTGTGGATCACCTACCTAGCCAGGGAAAGGGGGTGACCTCTGCCGGGATGGGGGGTGCTGGGACGGGACCCGAAGAGGGAGCCCCGGAGGGGACAGACGGGGAGAGACAGTGAGAGATGGCTGGCGAGAGACAGCAAAAGACAGGAAAGGAGCCCCCCCCCCGGGAGTGGGCACAGCCTGTGTGTGCACACACGTGCCTGTGTGTGTGTGCAGGTGTGTATGTGTGCAGTGCAGGTGTATATTGTGTGCCTTATGCGTGTACATGTGTGTATGTGTGCGTGCATGTGTGTGCACGTGCATGTGTACTGTGTGGTGTGTGCACACACTCGTGTGCACTGCGTATGTGTGCATGTGTGTGCATGTCTATGAGTGCATGTGTGTGGTGTGCACGTGTGTGGTGGTGTGCACGCATGGGAGTGCATGTGTATAGTGTGTGCCTCTATATGGGTGTGCACGTGCATGTGTGTGGTGTGTGCATGTGTGTGTGGTGTGTGTGTCTGTCTGTCTGTCCAAGAGTAGAGGCCAGGGGCGGGGTGGGAACAGAACCTGAGATGGAGTTTCAGGAGGGGACAGGATGGGAAGAATCCGCAGCTGGGGACAGATCTGGGGCGCAGAGAGGACACACTGGGAAGGGGGTGAGTTGAGGGAGGGGGCGCGAGGGTCACCGTGTGAACAGGGGTGCGTGGGGAGAGGTGCAGTGGAGAGAAGGTGGGGGACAGGAAGCGGGGCGGTGGGGGGGGGCTGCCCTGGGCAGGAGATGCCGTGTGGGAGATGCGTGGGGTCACGCGGCGTGGAGGAACGCGGCGGGCGCCCGCACTTTTCGGTTGGTCAGCTCTGCTCCAGGATTCGCTTCCAGAGCGTCCCCAAGATGAAGGGGAACCCGGGTGAGGGGGGATAGATCCGAGACCACGCGGATCCTCGCCGGACGCCTCTGCCCACTTCGCTAGGTTGGAGCTGCACCTGGGCCCAAACTCGCGGAGGTAAAGCAGGCCGCAGCCGGAGCCCCAGCCGGGCCCGCCCCACCCATCCCAACCGTACCCCAGAGTATACGCTCCTCAAGTGTAAGAAAGATGGTCTGTGAATCTCACACCTTTTTTCCTCTTCCTCTTCCTCTCCATCTATTGCTAGGAAACACGGGCGGGTGTTGTGTTAATGCTTAATTACTTTGGGTTAGACACTGTCTAACCACTGCCAACCCCACCAACAAATCCTACAGAGCCAAGAGCAAAAACTCCCTCAGAAAAACAAATCTAAAACCATGCTCGATAGGAAAGGTACTCGTTACCCTACTCATGTAACTGTAAGCCCTCTGTGCAGTATTTTTACAATAAAAAATATATACAAAAAATAAGAAAGGCAAAAAGAAAAATCTAAAAAGAAACCACATTCAATCAGGACCTTAAAAAAAGAGAGGCCAGGGAAAAGAGAGAAAGGAAAACAACTGAAAAGAAATAATGCAATGGAAAGAGACACCACAGGGGGGGGGGAAATCCAAAAATGATCCCCCCCCTCTTCAGCACAAAATAACAAACCTCTGTGTATTTATGCAGTTTTAAAGAACGAAAGGAAACAGAAACACATGCTCCACTGATTCACAGAGAAATATTAAATATAAATGTTCTGCTGACTTTAATCTGTCTTCTTTTGCCACTACAAGAACACTTGCAGATTCGTGCAGCTGTTGATATAAAGGATGGGTTAAAACTATAGGGATAAAGGAAGGTTTAGGGGATTGCTGCTTTTGTTATGCGCTACTTGAGCTCAGGTTATTACGCTTTCCCTAAGCCTGTTTTCTTGTCCCTATTACTGGAATAATTGTTTCTGCTCTCTGGATTTGTTTGAGCTTTAAATGAAAAAAAAAAAGTAAATAACTTAGGCCAATGCTTACTTTTAAATGAGTAATAAGTAGTGTCATCATCATTAGGTTCTGTGTGTGTGTGTGTGCGTGCACATACACACTCCCACTTGTACTGGGATTTGAACTCAGAGTCTGTCCCTTAGTTTTTGCACTCAAGGCTGGAGCAATATCACGTGAGCCACAGCTCTCACTTGGAGTTTTGGTGTTGTTGTTGTTATTGTTTGTGAATGTGGTTAATTGGAGATAAAGAGTCTCACAAACTTTCCTTCTGGGGGCTGGCTTTGAACCATAATCCCCTCAAGACTCAACCTCTTGAGTAGCTAGGAATACAAAAGTGAGCCTTGAGGGGCAGGGGGGGGGACTGAGAAGGTGGCTCAGTGGTAGAGCGCTTGCCTTGCATACATGAGACCCTGGGTTCGATTCCTCAGCACCACATAAGCAGAAAAAGCCGGAAGTGGCACTGTAGCTCAAGCGGTAGAGCGCTAGCCTTGAGCTGAAGAGCTGAGAGACAGCACCCAGGCCCAGAGTTCAGGCCCCGCGAACAACAACAAAACAAAACAACAAAAGTGAGCCTCAGGTGCTCTGCCTTCATCAGGTTATTTTAATGCTGCTGTTTGTCTCGCTGGCCAATTGGGTTAAGGATCTGGCTTCAGACAGTCGTACCGGTTCCACTGCTCACTTCAGAGAAGTATTACATACTAAGTACACACTTGTAGCTTCCAAAGTTTTGGCTCATCTACAGAAAGCATCCTTCTTTTCCATGAGCATTTATGTCTGTAGGTGAAGTGAATGCATCTGATTGCACCTGCAAACAAGAGGTTTGCAAAGCAGGATGTCTAAGCGTGATTTCTCTCATTGGTTACTGTTGAATAGGTGGGGGGGGCAGACGGAGGGGGGATAACTAATTTTTCCTTAGTAATAACTAACATCCCTGTTGATCTTGTCAGTTTGCAAAGTATTTTCCCCATCACCTGACTATATTTTCAGACTTCCTTCCCCTATACTTCCTGCCATTTGACCTCCAGTTCTATTTTTCCAGTTTCTAGTCAGAAACGTCAACAGAAAATCCATACCAAACAGCAAACCTGACGCCAGCACGGCCACAGAGGTCAGGCTGAAAGTAATTTCCTCATCCTTGTGCTCAGCTCCTGATCTAATCAGAAGAGGTGGGTCAGGGAGCAGGCCAAGGACCTGGTGGCCTCTGACTTTCAGGTAAACAAAAATCTGCTAGCTCTGAGGTCTCGACACCATCCAAGGGCACAGTGCACAGCCCTTCCTCCCAGTATTTGTCCAAGGTGGGTGGGGAGGAGGTGGGGAGAAAAATGGAAAGACATTGGGTCTGAGAGAATCTATGCAGGTAGGTATGTGTGTGTGTGTGTGTGTGTGTGTGTGTGTGTGTGTATGTGTGTGTGTGAATGTGTGTGCCCATCCTGGGCTTGAACTCAGTGCTGTTCCTGAGCTGCTTTTGCTTGAGGCTAGTGCTCTACCACTTGAACCACAGCTTCACTTCTGGCTTTTTGATAATTTATTGGAAATAAGAGTCTCACAGAGTTTCCTGCCTGGTGGCTTTGAGCCAAAATCCTGATATGTCAGCCTTCTGAGTAGTGAAGATTACAGGCATGAGCCACTGACGCTTGGCTTGGCTTAGATATAACATTTAAGAAGGAAGCAAAAAACCCAGTATTTAAAATAAGCAATACTCTTAATGCATTATTTGAAAATGCAAAACATAATGTTTAAACACAATGAGCAAAATATCAAGTGTTTAAATAAAGACAAGATGTGTGAGCTAGATTCAGGCTGAGGATTTTGGGGGTCACATCAATACAAACTCAGATCCTGGCTGTATTTAAAATTTTTGATATTATGATCATGGTATTTGCTTTTCATCACTGTAACAAATGATCTGGTACCATCCGCTTATAAAGAGTTAAAGCTTTATTTTGGATCACAAGTTTGAAAATCAGTGGTCAGTTGGCCCTGTTGCTTTGGGCTTCTGGTGAGAGAGCACATCCTGGTTAGAGTACACAGTGGAATAAAACCATTCATCTCGTGGCCAGGAAGTGAAGACAGAGGAAAAGGAAGAAACGGGACTCCCAGAATCTCCTTCAAAAGCACATTTAGAATAACCTAAAAACCTGTCAGTAGGCAACATCCCTCAATAGCACCCAGCTGGGAACCCCTTTTAATCAGTCTTTGAGGGGTATTCAAAAACAAAACTATAATATGAATTATAGATTTCTCCTGCATTAATTAGGAATAACTGTATTAGCATGTTATTTATGTTGATAACTGAGCTGTTTTCTTGAGGTTTATGTTTGTCTTTCATGGTTTTTTTTTTTAAAGGAGGACAACAGTTGCTTAAATTTTACAACGAAGGTGAGTACTTCAATCCCCTAACCCTAATGCTAAACCTGATCAGAATGAAAGGAGAGATTGTGCCAAATCAGAGGTAATCACCTTAATGTTTGGTAAATAGCTTCTCATACACCTGTCAGGTTTTTGCATGTGTTGTTTTTTTACTCATATGATTTCCATTCTTTTGAAATAGTGGGGTTTTTTACTTATAATATGTGGTAGGCAGGGCAAATAGTGACTATAGAATCTTTTTTTTGGGGGGGAGGGTCCAGTCGTGGGGCCTGAACTCTGGGCCTGGGCGCTGTCCCTCAGCTCTTCAGCTCAAGGCTAGCGCTCTACCACTTGAGCCACAGTACCACTTCC